TTTAAAAATTAAATTATAACTCGTAAAAAATAAATTACAATTACTCAAGCAAAACCCATGACGGATCACAATATTTATGATCATATATGAATATATTCCATAACTACTTATAAGTTTATCTGTTAAAGATATAATATTATCATTAAAAATAATAATTTTTTTATTGTAAAATGATAGTATATAAAAATTATAAAAATTTCAAAAATAAATCCCAAGAGAAAACCTTAATTAGAGTGGTGGGAGGAACACAAGGACACTTGTGGCACAGAGCACTAGGTGTAGGTGGTCTAGACATTGGGGTTAGCATGACCTCATCTATCCCTTCGATCCTCGCAGACTTGACTTTGATACTACTCTTTCTCTTCTTGTAGATTGTGACATGTGGAGTTTTTATTTGACAAATTATCTCCATTTTGCAATATTATTTTCCTTTTATAGTAGGGTTTTTACTTAGTTTTTATTTTTTTATTTTTATCTATGGTGTTTTAACATTTAAAGGTATGAGTTTTCAGCTATGTTTTACACAAAAATTATTATAGACTAAGAAATAATTTAGAAACTACTATAAAAGAGAAATAAAGGGGGCAATTATGGTGAAAATTGATTCTATATAAGTGGTTATGAATTCTTCCTAAACTTACATTCATTCTCAAAAAAAAAAAAATTGTAATTACTATCAAATCATTATCTTTATGTAGAAGACTATTTATTTAAAAGAGTAAGATTCATTTTGCTAATTTTTTTGTTCATTATTAGATGATGACACAATATCAAAGTTTTGGTAATCTCTAAAGATAATGCCTATAAAAAGGATATTTAGTATAAAAGACAAGATACACTCCAATTTCCACAGGAACTATGGTCTGAGTATTTTTAGGAATAATTTTAAATTAATTTTTAGGAGATAGTTATTGTTGCGGTCAAAGTTGATCATTCAATTTTTTGGCACCGAAGTCTTTTTGATCGAATTAATAAAAAAAAATTCTTTTATGAGTTCCTTGCACTTGCACTGCGTGTTTTTTTTTTTTTTTTTCATTCTTTGAACTTCTAAAAAAAGATATTTAAATCCCTTACAAATAATAATTTGAAAACTGTCCTTTGATGCCAATGGATTTTAAAGTAATAATTATTTAAAATAAAATGGTCACTATCTGATATAAACAAATAGTTATTCATAAGAACAAAAGTTCATCTTGGTGACTTATTTATTTATTAGTTATTGTATGTGCATGAAGATACATAATAATAAAAAATGATAAATAATAAACATATTTGTATTCATATTTAAAATTAAATTACAAATATAGAAAATAGATAAATGAATTTAAACATCGATTTATAGTGGGGGTGAGAGGTGGTGGGTGACAGTAATAGTAGTAGGAGACGATGATAGTTGTGGTAAGTGATAATAACTGTGGTGGCAGTGACGGTGGCTATGGGGGTGGCAGGGGCGCTGGCGGTAGTGGTGGCGACAACAACGACTACGATAGTGGTGGTGGTGATAGTACTGGTGATGACAACGACAATGATAGTGGCAGCAGCGACAGTAGCAGTGATGATAGTGGTGGCAGCAAAGGTAGTGGTTGCGGTGGTGGCGGCGACGGTGGAGATAGTGGTGGGACGGTTTCAAATACTATTCTTTTTTAAAAGTATTTATGAAAAATAATTTGTAGAATTACTTTTAAAAAATTACTCCAAACATACCCTTAGGGGCTTATTTTTTCTATTAAATTTAGGATATTAATAATATTAGTCGTTAAATTAACTTTAAAATAAACTTTAAAACGATTTTAATCGCGAATAATAAAAATTATTTTATTTATTTTTGAAATTTGAATTGTAATTTAGTTTATTATATATATATATATATATATATATATATAGATTATTCGATATCACTGCCGAGCTAGAGTGATGTAATGAATACTTACTCCTTTAAAGGTTGTTACGATGTGATTGCTTACCCAACTATTTAATGTTTGCTCATTTTCGATGGCGTACTTCCAAATAGCCTTTCCCTCTCCTATGTACACTGCTCACGTGCTAAAAGACATGGTATAATGGGCGCGATACGAATATAAATTCGTGACACAAATATAATACGATATAAATATAGTGATACGATAAAATTAAAAAAAATAAGATATAGACACGATCAAGATAGATCTATAATAAAATATATTTATATTTTATTATTATTTAACAACTTAAAAATTATAATTTTTTAACATTAATAAGTAAAATTATGAATTTTTACCATGAAAAGGATGTAACATCGTCTCATTATAATATGTTCATAAAATGAGTATAACCAATTGAAGGAATCATAACGACATTTAACTAATTAGTTTTATACTCTCTTAACATTTAATAATAAATAATACTTAAAAAATATTCGTGTCTTCAAAATCAAATGAAATTTTGTTGATGTTTATATATTGTATGTGAATTCCAAAGAAGGGGTATAGCTAAAAATTAAAAATTATACATCTTACTCCATATTTAGAAAGTATCCGCAAAGTATCCACATATTTTATTAATTATCAGATACGAATGATGCGTATCCGATACATATTATTGAGTATCCGATGAATATCATATCCAATACGATATCCGATTCGATTACGTCGACCTTGACGAAATATCTGTGCTTCATAAGGGGTAATTAATAATCTTATGACCTCATTAACGAGGGTTTATTAAAATAATTTTAATAAGCTCTTTTTTGTTCCATTTTTTTTAATGAGAAAAAAAAACTATTTTAAATTTGTTTATTGTAAAGGAATCCAAACACAGAAGATGTTTGTGATTACCGCTATTTAAGTATCTTTTAGTTTATAAGTACTCATTATTTTGTATTTTACTTTTTCTTCTAATTTTTTTTTGTCCGTGTTGTTTCTTCTTCCTCCAAACTTAATCGCATGTATAATAGCGCACCACATTACACATTAATTACTTTTACATGATACTAAAGAAAATTGGTTATATTTTTTTTGACTAAATTTACTTAAAAACAAATAAAAAAATTCTTACCAAATGGTATATTAGAATTTGCATAATCAATTTAAGTTCAGAAAAGAACTGATTGGGACAATTCTTTGGTATCAAAAAATAATAAAAACTAAAAATAAAGAATGAAAAAGGAAAAGGTATATGAGCATCTCAACTCTCAAAGATTCTAAAACTTTGAGATGCACATGACCTTTTTTTTAATTACATGGGAGGGGAGAAAGGGACTACAAAGCCAAATCATCAGCATGTGATATAGGAATTTTCTATATGTAATGCCACTTTNAATCTTATGACCTCATTAACGAGGGTTTATTAAAATAATTTTAATAAGCTCTTTTTTGTTCCATTTTTTTTAATGAGAAAAAAAAACTATTTTAAATTTGTTTATTGTAAAGGAATCCAAACACAGAAGATGTTTGTGATTACCGCTATTTAAGTATCTTTTAGTTTATAAGTACTCATTATTTTGTATTTTACTTTTTCTTCTAATTTTTTTTTGTCCGTGTTGTTTCTTCTTCCTCCAAACTTAATCGCATGTATAATAGCGCACCACATTACACATTAATTACTTTTACATGATACTAAAGAAAATTGGTTATATTTTTTTTGACTAAATTTACTTAAAAACAAATAAAAAAATTCTTACCAAATGGTATATTAGAATTTGCATAATCAATTTAAGTTCAGAAAAGAACTGATTGGGACAATTCTTTGGTATCAAAAAATAATAAAAACTAAAAATAAAGAATGAAAAAGGAAAAGGTATATGAGCATCTCAACTCTCAAAGATTCTAAAACTTTGAGATGCACATGACCTTTTTTTTAATTACATGGGAGGGGAGAAAGGGACTACAAAGCCAAATCATCAGCATGTGATATAGGAATTTTCTATATGTAATGCCACTTTTTAAAAAGCTTATCCTAGAGAGGAAAAGTGACAACCCTTTGTTTATTTTGATAGAAGAAATCAAAGAGAGTTGTGACAAAAAAATACAACTATCAATTGCACAACACACTCGTTTGGTATGTGAATGGGAGACACAACATGATCTTTATCTCACATTCTCAATAATCCACCAACCAAACATTTTACGCGGTTGAAATGATTATTAAAGGGAAAGAAGTCTAATGCATCCTTAAATATTTATCTCAAATAGACAGTTATCAGACCCTTTTTTTTGTCCCAGTCTGACCTACAAGCACCTGCTTAAACCCCTTACATTCATACTTAAGACTGGTAATCAAACTAAGCCATATGGGTTTAGCCCATTTTAAACTTGATTCAAGCTTGACTCAAACTTCGTTCATTTTTTTAACAATTCAAGTTTAAATAAATTTTTTAAGTTGATAGCACGACTCGTTTATATGTAAAATAATCAAACTACTCGTACTCAGTTCATTTTCTAAAAGTTTAAACGAGCCAAGTGTGGATAATTTTTTAAACTAGTTTTCTCTCCAAAGCTCAATTATCAGTCCTATTTGTTACCATGAGAGAGAGAGGGAGAGAAAGATTTCATTTTCATCATAAGATTATTTTTAAAATACCAGAAGAGAAAACAAAAATCAGCAAGAGGAACTAGATGCTGACTGTGTTCAGTTCAATCATCTGGTAGATCCTTATCTTATATAATCTTAATAATCCACGGGTGTCTCTCTGATATTCATAGGTTTTGGAATGAAAAAAAAAAGAACAAAAACATAAAAACAAAACAAAAAGTCATTATCATTTGTCTCAACCACAACTAAAAGATAAGTACTGATCCAAGCCAATAGTGAAAATAAAATAAAAACATGGCGACAAAGAAATTGAGGAGATGGAGCTTCAATTATCCGGACGATGAATCTTAGTCCAATAAAGGAGCCACCACTGATAAGGTTAACATCTAATTCGAAAGCATCCGCAGGCAAAAAAGGCAAAAATCGAGAACATTATTGAGAGATAAAGAGAGGCAGAAATATGACAACTTGCATTTTCCCAGGTCAAGCACTCATGCTTGAGCTCCAAGCTCCAACAATAAGGTGTGACTAAGTTGATCAGATACCGGGCCAACAAATTGGATTGGACCTGTGATTTAAAATATAAGCCAAAAAACCAAACATATTATACTTTAGGAACTCGAATTCTTTTGTCAATAGTCATAAGCTTGTATGTAATTAAGCAACTATAGTCTCTAAATTTAGCATCGCACATTGTCTTAGCATATGCATATAGGTGTTGTCATACATTCTTTTCAATCAAGGCTCAATTCTACAAGCTAAGACCGAATCCAGCTAAACACTGATGAAAATTAATAGAGACAACAAGATATCATACCAGGACAGAAATATCGGTTCTTAAGGGCCCACTCTTCCCGCATGGATGCAAATTTTTTGAATGGTGCACCTGAAACCAGCCAAGATAATTAGACAAGAAACCGAATATTTCACTTGATACTACGGGGTAAACTTGAAAATGCAATTGCAGAATAATTATAAAGAAGAGAAGATAATAGCATAAGGCCTGCAATGAAAGAATTCTCACCATCAAGCTCTACCATTGCCTTCTTAATCACTGGCTTGAACTTACCTGTAAAACCAAATAAATTTTCAGCCATGAGTTGGAACAACTGCAAGAAAAATATCATGTAGAAACTGAAAAATAAAGTTCAACAGATATGGTAACATAGTTTTCGTTGTGGAAAAACTAGAATTGATAGAATACGAAATGATCGTATTAGAGAAATGGTAGGAGTAAGCTCCAATTGAGGATAAGTTAAAAGATAATAGATTAAGATGGTTTGGTTATGTTCAACGGTGGCCGTTAGAGGCACCGGTTTGAAAAAATGATAGAATTTCTTTTAATGGTACTATAAATAGGGATAAACCTAAATTAATATTAAACAAAATAATAAGAAAATATATAAAAATATTTAACTTAAATGAGTCTATAGGGCATTATCGAAATGAATGGCTAAGACAGACTCGTATAGCCGACCCAAATGATTGGGACATAAGGCTTGATATGGTTTGGTTTGGTTAGTTTTTTAGTGGGGTAAGTGATTTGGTAACATTGTTGACAATGATGTCCCAGGGAAATATCCAACGCCTTTAATGCTAAAACACCCCATTGTAGACAATCCTGATATTATTATCCTGTATAACATAACAAGTGGTATCCGTCTACTATCTTGTCCATTGAATAGATATGCCAGTCATTTACTTTGTGAGCAGCAGAGGTTAACTGTATTCTGCCAGTATGCCTAACTAAGAACTCCTCACCGCTAAACAAAAAAAATAGACCTG